AATAAAATAAAATTTAAAAAAGGAAAAAAAAAGGGAGGAGATGAGGATGAGAGGGAGGGAGGACTGGAAAGAAGGGAGGAAGGGGAAACTGATGATCAAACAATATAACATATATATGTTATATAATTATATATAACATAGTTATATATTATATACATGAATATGTATCTATCTGAAATATATATGGACATGAAATTTAAAAAAAGGATTGTACTGTTGAAGAAAATCAGAAAACTAATGTTATCAAGAATAAATCTGTTTGGCATAATATAAAAAAAAATGACCTAGGTGTTTCTGATCAAGTCGAGAGCAAATTGTGGCTTTGGAAAGTGGAGGTGCCCAATGTCTGTGACCCAGGAAAAACTCTTGAATGGAAGCCTCAGCTTCCTAACTGTACAGGGAGAAAATTAGCTGGGAGGCAAAGGGTGTTCCCCATGACATCAGCAGCCTCTTCTTTGGACATTCCATTGTTTCCTGGAGAGTTCTTGGCATCCCTTGTGATGTCACCAGTGTTGTAGTAACAACAAGTGCACTGAGCTCTCTCAGTCAGTGTCTACAGCATATGCCCATAGACATGATTTCCCGACTGAGGAGACGTTTTGGAAGAGCGGAGATGGATGTGACAGAAACTCGAGAGAGGCAGAAAGTAGCTGGCCTTTCATCTGAGAGTAATGAAGGACGAAGGAGGTGGTCTTGGCGAATGTGGAGTAAGTCCTGGGAAGGGGATGTTGAGCTTCCTGTCAGGGGTGGCCTGAGCTGGCCTTCCTAGCAATTTGAGCACAGGAACTGGAATCACAGGGAAGCAAAAGAATTTCCATGATTATCACAATGCTTGAACATCAAGGATTTCAGAACATGACTTTCTCCATCCCTTAAGGCAGGTGATGGCAAGGCCAAAGCAGGTATTTCAAACACCAAGTCTTTACTTTGACTGGGGTTTGTGGTTGTTACATGAGGACAAAATGAAACCATCAAGAGTCACAGAGGGTCTAACCTATGCCAATTTATGCAAGGGCATCACTGCACATCACTGGCAAGGCTTTGGTGTTTTTGTTTTTGTTTTGTTTTTGTTTTTGTTTTTCAGCTTCAGTGGCTATCTGACAGTAGTACCAGGGAAAGAATTGTGCTCCTGGCCATGGCCTTATGTTCTCAGAACTCCTCTGACCGCCTCTCCCTGACAGTACCCACCTTAGCTTTCTTTATCACCCATTGTGGGTGGCAGGCATTTGTCTCCTGTAACCAAACAACTTTCAGTGTTGATACACTCAGACAATGAACCCTATTGCCATCTCTGGGGTGTTTGCTGTTTCAGTAGGGGGAATTGACCAGTGTGATGATCATGGTCTCACCCTCTATGAATTTTAGTCCAAACTACTGGGCCTTGAGTAACAGGGTAGGACATCTGCCCACCTTTATCACTCATGTTCTTGGGGTTAGTTCATTTTCCATCTGACTTGTGAAACCACAAGACTGAGGGACCTAAAGCCAAGTTGCACCCTGTAAAACTGACAATACTTGTAGAGAACCAATCTCTGGGGTCATCATAAGCATGTGTAGGGAGACAGAGGAAACACCTGGCTGCTTTCATCTCCTGGTCTCTATAGAGTGAAGGGAAAGCTGAGATTCACTTAGGTGGTATCTCAAGCCTGGACCCAATACTTTGTGGTGTCACTGGTTTCCAGGCATGGTCTCTTTCTGTTTAACCTCAGGGTGTTCTGTCTAAACTCTCTGCATTCTCTTGGGGTACTTTACTTTTGTTCTTCTGACTACAGTGGCTGGCAGATGGACATCAAACCATGCAACTGTCCTAAGCAGGAAAGAGGCCAAGAAGGAGGAAAAGAGACTGACCAAAGAGCTGGGGCTCAGTACCCAGGAGAGAAACGAGCTGAGAGACCGCTTGATCTATGTCACAGAGGGATCCATGAACAAGAGGTACTCATTGCTCCAAACACTTTGGTGTCAATCTGACATCTGCAATGTCACCCTCATCTTAGCCTTTTAAGGTTGTGAGTTCTGGGAAGCAGTACCACCACAGAGCCCCTGTGCCCAACTTTATACCCCTAAGTGCTTCTTAGAGGAGAGGTTGAACCTGAAGCTTGATCAGGAGCGAGAAGGGAAAGGGACTCTTCTGCTTCCTCCAATTGAAATGTTGAACTTGTGGTCTGAGTAAAGAATTCTGGATGTGGGCCGTGGCAAGTGAGTGCACAACATGCATTTGGAAAGTCCTTGACAGATGCAGTAAGTTTGTGGTGACGCTTTGTACTTACCTGGTGCTTAACTGAGGGCTGGAAGGTCCTGGAAGCAGCTGGCCCCACACTGTTCACATCAGTGCTTGACTAGCAGGCCTGAAGAGTGTGCTTTTGTCGGTGTGCCTTATACTCTGAGACAGTAATGCTGAATGAATTTCTTCAGATTCTGATTGTGCCTTCTCCATTGCTGTATCTCTCTCTTTCTCATTCTCTCATTCTGTTTCCTTTTACTTTCCTTGTGTGTGTGCTTGTGTGTGTACACATGCATATGGATGTGCAGACATATACTAGGTGTGTATTTCCTTCCACTCTTTGGGAACTAGGGTTCTGTGTTTTGGCCTGTGGATTGACCTGTATAACAGTTTAAAGGTGATGTGACTCCTGAGGTCTGGGATCCCCTCATGTAAACAGCACTATCATTGACTCTGTGGTGCCATTTGTCTGTACATTTGTATCTCTTTGACAGATTAGAAAACTGTGTTGATGTCTGGTCTCATCTCCAGAATTATGTGCAATGAATGTCTCCACACTATTAGTTATCCAGGATTTAGAGTCCCTGTTTTGAAAGTAGGAAATATATAATCACAGGTTTCTGGTGGGCAAGGACCTGTGGCCTAGTCTCTTTAGAGCATAAGCTGCTAGACCTCCAGTTCAGGCCAGCTGAGTGAACACAGGGAGCCAGGGCACCCTCCATCTGGATGCCAAACTTCTGCTGTCCTGGGCCAGGATAACAAGATTCCAAAGCTGGAGAAGATCCCAGTATTTAGAATGAAGAAACTGGCCTTCCAGGATTAGGGTAGGATAGGACCCAGCCTGAGTTCATGTGTTCCTAAAAGCCCATGTTCATGGAGTTCTGTCTTCCTGGGGCCAGACCCTATTACAGGCAAAATCCACTGTATGAAAAACTGAAGTTAAAGGAGAAGACGGTCATGTCATTTCTGAACAAATTAGAGATGGAGAACACTGAGTTCTGTGAGAACGTCCAGGAGCACAAGAAGGAAATTAACTTCTATAGGTAAGTGCAGGTCATGGAGGCTACCACTTGTGCAATGCCCATTTCTGCATTCCTTTGAACTGGAATGGAGAGGCTCCAGGTCTGGTTCTATCCCTTCTGCTTTTTAGCCTTCAGTGTGCCTTGGGCCTTTTGGACTCACTTTTCTTCAATCTGTAAGAGAACCTTAGTCCTCCCAGGGTTATCTGGGCATCCTCAGGAGCCTCTAAGATAACAAAAGGAGAGGGTTCTCTTGCAGAACTGGACCTCTGGGGCTCAGGCAGGGTTTTGCAGATGTGAGTGTGATGGAACACATGGATAGAATGCCCTCCCCGTAGTCCTTCTGACCTCCAATGAGGGTATTTACACCCTACTACTTGATGTTGCTGCAATACACTGGGCTGCCATGGAGATACCTCTTTCTTGGAGAGGCAGATAGATGGCGATACCTCTTTCTTTTGGAGAGACATGGAGCCTTATTTGTGTTTGGGCTACAGACATGATTAATTCTTACCTGCATTGGCTGTTTGCTGTTTGTGCAGTGTCATGGATATATTGAAATATATTGTACTATGTCTTCATGGGAACCTGGGTCCTGGTGGGGTAATGGAACCTCTAAGTAGGAATGGGAGGAAGAGGTTGCAGGATCTTAATAACTGTAGTGTGTTTCCAGAAACCTGCAAAGTCGGCTCCTGTTGCAGTCCTCTGTTGTAAAGAAGTCATTGGTCAAAGTGAGGCAGGATTGCAAGGAAGTACAGGCTTATTCGTACCTTCTCCAACAGTACTTGACTGAGTTGAACCTGAATGTT